GGCAAGAAATATGCAGAATCACATAGCACATTCTCCCTTCTTTCTGGCTGTACACTTAGACCATTCCAAACAGATGATGGATGATCCATTGCATTACTGAGATGGTCAGCATATGAAATTCCACAAACATCCTGAATAATGTCATTCTTTTATTCAACTAATAGTCATCGTGCACCTCGCGTGTCAGACACTGCTCTATTAGGCACTGAGGATTCAGGGTCAAACAAGAGGAGCTTTGGGAACTGAGTCAGTAAGACCCGGGATGGTGGGATGGTGAAGGACGGGGGAGACAGAGGGTCTAAGATGATCCCCACAGTTCTGCTTGGGGCACTTGAAAGGAAGTCAGAAAAAGAAGCCAGGTTGGAGAGAGATGGTGATGAGTTTGGTGTCTGGTCTGCGGGGGTATTGCAGGTAGAGGCAATTGGCTCCATGGGCCTGGAGTTTAATCAGAAGATACAAACAATCATAGTTCATGAACTTTTTTCAAAATTGGAATGCAAAGAATATTCACCGAGCATGTACTTTACACCATGTATTGTGCAATTCTCAGGTGTTTTTTTTTTTTTTTTTTGAGACAGAGTCTCGCTTTGTTGTCCAGGCTAGAGTGAGTGCCGTGGCGTCAGCCTAGCTCACAGCAACCTCAAACTCCTGGGCTCGAGCAATCCTTCTGCCTCAGCCTCCCGAGTAGCTGGGACTACAGGCATGCGCCACCATGCCCAGCTAATTTTTTATATACATATCAGTTGGCCAATTAATTTCTTTCTATTTATAGTAGAGACGGGGTCTCGCTCTTGCTCAGGCTGGTTTTGAACTCCTGACCTTGAGCAATCCGCCCGCCTCGGCCTCCCAAGAGCTAGGATTACAGGCGTGAGCCACAGCGCCCGGCCAATTCTCAGGTGTTTTAAAGATGAAGAGACTTGCTCCTTTGTCTTCTGAAGCTCTCAGGCAGCAGACACATAAGAGAAGGGGAAGAGGTAAATCCCCGAAGAGCAGGTTTAAGTTTGGCTCTTATGCTGGCCCTGGTCTCCTAATGGAACCAGGGAGCTGCTAAGCAGGAGAGTGTCTGTCATTCGATGCTCTAATTTCCTAGATAGACATTGAGGCAGCTTCTCCCAGCACTGACATTTAGGCACTGCTGATACCCTGAGGGATCTCTTTTCACAGGCACTGCTCCTTCTTCAGCTCAGAATGCCACTGGAGCCACAGAGAAACACTGCAGGACCTTCTGGAGACCTGACACCCCAAGATGAAAGGCCACCTCTCATCAGCTACGTAGAGAGCTTTGTGGGGACCACCAATGCGGGAAGAACCTGGACTGTTTTCTGGAAAAATATCCTATTTTATTTTTTTAAATTCCTCCCTCCCCCCAAAATATTCTAGAGTCACCTTAAATATTCTCCATATCTGGCAATGGGGGCTTAATAAGAGAATATTCTTCACTGAAGTGTACACCATGTTTTTCCTAAGAGGAAACACGGGAACTTCACCTTGAACAAATCCATCTTCCAAGGCGGGAGGTGGTGAGCTTTTCCCTCGTTTGCTCTGGTCCCCTAAATCAATGATCACCCCTCCACTCGTTTTTCTGGCTTGTGAAATTTCCCTGGTAGGTGGTCCTCTAGTTTCCTGTTGTGAACTTGAACTCAGCAATCCCTCTGCTCTCTTTTTAGTGGTGTATGGAGGAGGCAAAGGCCAAGCATGAGTCCCAGCTCCTGTGGTGCCTTTGTCCTTTCTGGTATCCTTTGTACTTTCTCTCCTTCCATTCTTGCTACAGCTGTGTCTATTTTACCACTTTCAAAGAAACAACTTTTGTCATTGTTGGTCTTTCTGTATCCGTGTCATTAATTTTTGCTGTCTTTGTGATTTCCTTCTACTTTCTTTGGGTTTACTCTTTTGTGGTTAGAAAAACTTCCTGAGTTGGCCCTGGTCTAGCTGTTTAAGGCTATCCGTTTCATTTTCGTTGCTGTTCAGTTCTAAATGTTTTTAGATTTTCATTATAATTCTTCTTGGACCAATGAATTATTTGGAAGTGGTTTTTTTTTTTTTTTTTTTTTTTTTGAGACAGAGTCTCGCTTGTTGCCCAGGCTACAGTGAGTGCCGTGGCGTCAGCCTAGCTCACAGCAACCTCAAACTCCTGGCTCAAGCAATCCTGCTGCCTCAGCCTCCCAAGTAGCTGGGACTACAGGCATGCGCCACCATGCCCGGCTAATTTTATATATATATTAGTTGGCCAATTAATTTCTTTCTATTTATAGTAGAGACGGGGTCTCGCTCTTGCTCAGGCTGGTTTCGAACTCCTGACCTCGAGCAATCCGCCCGCCTCAGCCTCCCAGAGTGCTAGGATTACAGGCGTGAGCCACCGCGCCCGGCTTGGAAGTGGTTTTTAATTTAAATTTCCACACATATGGGAGGCCTTAATTTTAGTTTTGTTACCTATCTGTGATTTTATTTTTATTGCATGGAAAACATGCTTCATGTGATGCAAATTCTTTCACTATTTGTTGACACTTGTTTTGTGGCCCAGGACATGGTGGGTTCAGTAAATGTTCAAGGTGAACTTGAAAAAAATGTGTAGTCTCTAGTTTTTGGATGTCCATTAAATCAAGCTTGTTCAATTTTTCTATATTTTTACTAATTTTTTTCTGCTTGAACTATCAATTCCAGTGGGAGGAGGTATAATTTATTGTGGAGAATTTGCTAATGTATTAATTGCTCCTTTTCCTGCTACTTTTTCGGTTTCTATTCATTTGAGGCTCTAACATCAGGCAGGGGCACCCAAGTTCAGAATGGTTAACACTTCTGAGTGAATGATTTATCATCATGCAGCAACCTCTCATATCCCTAATGATGTCTTTGCCCTGACACCTACTCTGTACAATATTACCTTCTCTCCACTAGCTGACTTTTGTCCATCTGTACCTAATAGGGCTTGGTGGCAGATCACAAAACCATTCTAGTTATGCAAATTGCAAAGAAAAAATAAATAAAAGGAACTCATTATCAGGTGTGTATGACTCATACAAACTTGGGAAGAGATGGAGGAACAATTCCCTGGCCTCGGAATCTGCCACCTCTCCTGGATCAGGAACAAATCCTAACCTTAACATGTGGATAAAATGTAGTCTACACCTCAATCTCTAAATGAGAGAGAGCCCAAGAGCCTCCCCTGGCTGTCTACACTGAAATGTCAACTGCCATGTGCCTCTGTGGCCCACACCTCACTGAGGAGCTCCAGCTCCAAGCCCACTGCCTGCACACCTACGGGGGGTGGGGGGACCCTTCTCCTCAGGCCTGCCTCTTACCCAGCGCTGCCTCTCTCTGTCAAGGGTGCCGTTGCCCACCAGCCCTCCAAGGCAAAAAGGCAGGAGCCACCTTGCCTCTCCCTTCTGCTGCCCCCATGCCTGTTGAGCTCTTCTAATTGTTTGAGTCTCTCTGGGACTTCAGGCCTCGGCTTGTCCTGTCTGGGCTGCTGCAAGGGCCTTGCTCTCTTCTCTCTCTCTCATGTATCAATCATGTATCCACCTATTATTTCTCATTTATCTAGCCACAGCCAGTCATTATCAATCTGTCTATCTGCTAGCACCCATTCCCTATCATCTACATACCATATGTCTATCAATATCACCCACCACTCCATCCTCTTCTATCATCTGTCCATCCATCTATCCATCACCTATCATCTACCTATTTTTTTTTTTTGAGACAAGAGTCTTAAAGTGAGACAGAGTCTTACTCTGTTGTCCCAGCTACAGTGCCATGGTGTCAGCCTAGCTCACAGGAACCTCAAACTCCTGGGCTCAAGGAACCTCAAACTCCTGGGCCTTCTGCCTCAGCCTCCCGAATAGCTGGGACTACAGGCATGCAGCACCATGCCCGGCTAATTTCTCTATATATGTTTTTAGTTGGCCAATTAAGTTCTTTCTATTTTTAGTAGAGACAGGGTCTCACTCTTGCTCAGGCTGGTCTTGAACTCCTGACCTTGAGTGATCCGCCCACCTCGGCCTCCCAGAGTGCTAGGATTACAGGCCTGAGCCACTGTGCCTGGCCCCCATCTACCTATTTTTTGAGGTGAAATTCACATAACATAAAATTAATCCCTTTAAAGTGCACAATTTAGTGGCATTTAGTCCATGCACAATGTTGTGTGGCTATCACTTCTAATTCCAGAACATTTTCTTTGCCCCAAAAGGAAACCCTATCCCCATCAAGCAGCCTCTCCCCCTCCCCCAGCCCCTGGCACCCACTGATCTGATTCCTGTCTCTATGGATTTGCCTGTTCTAGACATTTCACAGAAACAGGATCACATACTATGTGGCATTCTGTGTCTGGCATCTCTCCCTGAGCATAAAGTCTCAAGTTTCTGCATTCTGTAGTCTTCATTCCTTATTATGGCCAAGTGCTATTCCACCACGGGCCAGGCCACTTTTTGTTTGTCCATTCATGCCCATGGGCACTTCAGCTGCTCTCATCCTTTGGCTGCTACGAGAGCCTTCGTGCGTGAAGGTTTGAACTACTGTTCTCTGGGCTCCGACGCTGGTGGCCGCCACATCTCGCCAGCTCTCGTTCCCAGGACCCACCCGCACATGCAGCCACGAGGCCTACCTGATGTTGTAGCCTCTAGCCAAGCCCCTCCCTGCCCCTGCACTTGGCATTTTGCTCCTAATTCGCCCCTGAGCCTTTGTGCAAGCATGTCCCTCTTCCTAGAAGGTCTAGATGCAGTCTTCCTCCTCTGTGCTCCCCACGCCCCTACTGGGTGGCTCCCCAGCTTTCCCTAGTCCCTTACTCAGAGTCCTATTCGGGCTCAGCCAATATTTTTGTGCAATGCTGTCAATGGTTCCACCTCCCCGCCACCACGTGAACCCCAAGAACATGTAGCTAACGATGCCATGTCTTTGGGTAGGGTAGGGGGCAGCAGCTGGCAGTTAGGCCCACTCCTTTCCTAAACTCACCCTCTTTCCCACAGGCAACCTCCTTCCCCAGACACCAAGGCAGGCAGGTGAGATTGTGTTTTCCAGAGGAGGTTTTACTGAAGGGCTGAGGGCCCGGGAAAGGCACACGGCGGCAGTGGGGTCTTCCTCATGGGTAAGAACTGGCTCTGCAGAGACAGCTACCCAGCTGACCCCTCTTTGGCACTGAGCTGGGAACATGGTGCCCTTGCTCCTGGCTAGCAAGCAGAGGCCTGTGCCTCCCAGTGGTGGCTGGCAGTGTAGGCTGGTGGGCAACAGCTGCCCAGGGACTGGGGTTGGCACTGGTGGCAGCCAGGGCCCACAGACTCAGAGGCTGGGCTGCCTCCCCTGCTGGCAGGTACTCACATTGGCAGCCGAGGTGGCTACAAACAGGAATCCAATAAATTAGGCTGCAGAAAGGGAGAGGGCTAGAGCTACGTTCTCATAGCTGCTCGGTAGGTGACACTGTGCAGCGCTTTCTCATGAGGGCTCTTCAAGACTACTAGTGGGGAGAAGAGGATGCAGACAAGGAGCTCTGTCTCACTGGGTGTCCTGTCTGGCCACTGTTATGGCAGGAAGGGTGTCCCATCTGGCTGCTGTTATGGCAGGAAGGGTGTCCCACCTGGCTGCTGTTATGGCAGGAAGGGTGTCCCATGGGACGGGAGCCTCAGCTGGCCACTCTGGGGTATGGGCTATATGGTCTTCGAGGGACTGAAGAGGAGGGTAAAATGGGGACTTGAGTCTTATGAGGGAGGTGGCTCGGCACAGACTCTGGCTGGCAGTGGTGAGCAGCAGCCTGGGGGGGTATCCCTGCTCTCCGCTCAGTTGCACTGGTGTGGGGTCAGTGTGGGGGCCACCCTGAGCCCCAAGCTCCTTCCCCACAGAAAAGTAAAGGACTCGCTTCCCCAAACAAGGCACAGTTACTGTGGAACAGCCCCCAGGGTGCAGGCAGGTGTGGGGAGGGAGGCAGGAGGCCCAGGAGGAGGGAAGGCCATGCAGGGGCGGGCAGGGTGGGTGCTGCCATTTCCTTCATGTGTTCCGAGAGCTTGGGAGGGGCGAGGGCCTTGGGGCAAGGGGCCTTCTGTCAGGTGGAGGCACTCTGAAGGCCACTACCTGGGCCTTCACTGCTGGGTGCTGGCAGCTGCCCCGGGGCCACAGCCTCGCCCAGGATCTGGCAGAGTTCCTGGAGGCGCCGCTGCATCTTGGGAATGCCTGCCAGCTGCTGTTCCAGCCGCTGCTTCTCCTCGGTCAGGCTCAGGCGGGCGGCCGAGTCCAGCTTCTCGAACTTCCAGCCACCCTCCCCGTCAAACTGTAGCAAGTGTGTGTGGTACTTCCTGGCCAGGAGAGAGAGAGGGACAGGGAGGCAGGCAAGGGTACTCAGCAGGAGCCACCTGCCGGGCTGCCAGGCCACTCTCCTCCCAGGGATGGCATGCTCCCTCTGACTCTGGGCCAGAAGAGAGGGTACCTACCACAAGGAGGACCGGTGGGTGATGGAAAGCAGGGCGATGCCAGCATCCTTGGCCGCCTGGAAGATCTTGCCTTCCACGTCGATGCTCACAGCGCTGGTACATTCATCCAAGAGGGCATATTTGGGCCTTCGGGGTTGGGGGACAAGTGGGAGAGTCTCCAGTGCCTGACACCGCAGGCCTCCTAAGGGCAGCTGCTTTCCTCCTCTGGGGGACCCCAGAGAGCTCACCTGCCCGAGCAGGCTCCCCAGCTCCCCCACCCAGCCTCCTGGGAGTGCCTGCTGGCTCCAGAGGGCTCCCTGGGCCCCAGGGAGCTGGACTACCCTGAGTGCCCTGGGAAGCCACCTCTGAGGGCTCACCTGTGGTAGAACATGCGGGCCATGCCGATTCTCTGCTTCTCGCCCCCCGAGAGGACGTCCTTCCAGTCACACACAGCCTCCCAACCTGGGCAGGGGGCAAGGGGCTCTGCTCAATTCCACAGGGGCTGGGACTGCGGGGACCAGTCCCGGGAGGCAGGCAGGGAGGGCCAGAGCTTGCTCAATGGAGCTGGGGAAACAAGTCTGAAGGCATGACGAGCACATCTGACTCCACAGGAGCCTGCCCAGCTGCATGTTTATATTCTGTGTCCTTGTCTGTCTGTCACACATTTTTTTTTTTAAGAGACAGGGTCTCACTCTGTCACCCAGGCTAGAGTGCTGTGACATCATTACAGCTCACTGCAACCTCCAACTCCTGGGCTCAAGCGATCCTTCTGCCTCAGCCTCTTGAGTGGCTGAAGCTACAGGTGCAAGCCACCATGCCCAGCTAATTTTTAAATGGTTTGTAAAGCAGGGTCCTGATATGTTGCCCAGGCTGGTCTCAAACTCCTGGGCTTAAGAGATCCTCCTGCCTCAGCCTCCCAAAGTGCTGAGATTACAGGCCTGAGTCATTGTACCCAGCCTGTGATGCTTTAATAACTGAAAAAGAGTTGGATATTCTGAAATTAAAAAAAAAAAAAAAGAGGCCGGGTGTGGTGGCTCACACCTGTAATTCTAGCACTCTGGGAGGCTAAGGTGGGAGGATCGCTCAAGGTCAGGAGTTCGAAACCAGCCTGAGCAAGAGCAAGACCCCATCTCTATTAAAAATAAAGAAATTAATTGGCCAACTAAAAAAAAAAAAAATATATATATATATAAAAATTAGCTGGGCATGGTGGCACATGCTTGTAGTCCCAGCTACTTGGGAGGCTGAGGCAGGAGAATCACCTGAGCCCAGGAGTTTGAGGTTGCTGTGAGCTAGGCTGACGCCACGGCACTCTAGCCCCAGCAATAGAGTGAGACTCTGTCTCAAAAAAAAAAAAAAAGTGTTAGGACTGGAATTTTGTTTCTCCCCAAAAGATATGTTGGAGTCCTAAGCCCAGTACCTTAGAACATGACCTTATTTGGAAATATGGTCTTTACAGAGATAATCAAGGTAAGATAGGGTCACTAGGGTAGATACTAATCCAATATGACTGTGTGCTTATAAAAAGGGGAAATTAGGACACAGGGACACACAGAGGGAAGACAATCTGAAGAGACACAGGGGGAAGACGGCCATCTACAAGCCCAGGAGAGAGGTCTGGGAACACAGCCTTCCCTCACAGACCTTAGAAGGAACCAACCCTGCAATACCTTGATAGCCTCCCAAGCCGGGAGATGATCCGTGTCTGCTGCTCAAGTTCCCCATCTGTGGGACTTTGTCATGGCAGCCACAGGAAACTCCTACAGCACCTGACAGGGTGTTAGTGAAGAGCCAACCCACATTCCCTCGGTGGGAGCAAACAGCCTTGCAGAGAGCCCAGCGATAGCCACAGTAGTCTCCCAGAACAGAGGCTCCTCCCTGTACAGACTGGGCCCTCCCACCGCCTGGTGCCAGCGCCTGGGTGAGGACAGTGTGGCAGGAAGAGCTCCTCCTCTCCTACCGACCATTCTGTTTTCTCACACGACTAGAGTCTTTGGCAGGGCACACAGCTGCTCAGAATAAAGATCATATTTCCTAGTTTGCGTTATGCTGAGGTGTGATCATGTGACTACACTCTGGCCAATGGGGTATAAGTGTTTTTAAGTGTTACATGTGTGGCAGCTTCTGGAACTTTCCTTAAAAGACAGAAGGCATTTCTTTGCCCCTTCCTCCTCACTTCATCCATCCTACAGCCTAGATGTGGATGTGATGGCTGCAGCAGCCATCCTGCATCATGAGGTGACTTTGGGAATGGAGGCTTTACATAGCAGAGTCTTCGCAGAGCAGGGCTGGCCCACCAACCAGCTGTGGCCTGAGTCTCCTAGGACTTTCACAGCACAGTAGGATAAGCTCATGAATGATTTAAGCCACTACTGGGGGGAGGCATAGTTCTGTTACTCATAGCTGACTCAATCCTAACATGCCATGGTGGTTGGCCACAGGCCCTGGGCATTCAGGGGTGCCAGAGAGGACAGGAGGAGGGTGCACTCCCAGGCCAAGGGCAGCAGGAGCAAAAGAGGCTGGGCCAGGGGCTATTCCACTGAATTCATCACCTCTGTCCCTCCCTTTCTGCACACCCATGATGGGCCCTTCCAGGAATTACTTCCTTCAGTGCTGCCCAGAGGGAGGAATTTGACCTAGCCCCTCTCTCATGCAGATAAAGGAAGTCTCAGAGAGATGAGGTCTCTGCTCACAGTCATCTTGCGCCTATTGGTGGGGGCTGGAAGCAGAATCCTGATGCTCGGATTTCACTAAGAAAATTGGACGCACCCTCCATTCTGGCCCGCAGCTGGATTGGCCTCCCCTCCTCCCTCCCTCCAGGCACAACGGATATTGCAGTCAAGCAATGGGGAGGGACACAACATCTTTCCTTGTCACCAGCCTGTGTCTCCCTCTGGTGAGCACTGGCTCAGTGTTCCCTCTGCCTATCCCCTCCTCCCCCACCCTGCAAACTCCAGGCCATCCACACACACCTGCACTTACCTCCTGCCTGGCTGCCCCTGCTACCACCCCACAGCCTGTCCTTCACATGAGAGCTGGGTCATCTTGCTCAAATGCAAAACTGACCTGTCACTTCCCTGCCTAAAGCCTTCCAGGGCTGCTTCTTTCTGATCCCTCTCAAGGAAAGCCCAGGCTCCCACCTGGTCCAGAGGGTCCTCCATGAGCCAGACGCTCCCTGCCACCAAGCCCAGCTGGCCCTACCGTCCTCTGGCTCCCAGACAGCCTGACTGCTCAGCATTCCACAGGTCTTTGCTCAGACCTCTCTTCTCTGGGGGAGGGTGTCCTGGGTCCCCCAACAAGATAAGTGGCCCTGCTAGATGCCCCCTTCCCTAGTGCACTCATGCCACCTGGGGCCACCTATTTACTGCCAGTCCTCCCTGGTAGGCAGGTCTCAGAGGCACCTAGCACTTTGAACTCTTGGATATTGAGATAATCTTCATCCCCTGGGGGCCAAGGGGGAAAGGCCAGGGGTAGCAGCAGGTTTCCCATCAGTCTTAGGACAAAGGGCATTTGCCCCACCCCCTACCTCCTTCTCGCTGCAGGATGTGGTGCAGGTGCACGATGTCCAGGATGGCTTCCAGGTGCTTCTCCGAATAGCCTTTCCTTTGCATGTCCCCCACTGAGTCTGGGTAGATCACCTGGTCGCGCAGGGAGCCCACGGACATGTAGGGCCTGTGAGAAAGCTGCATGTCCACACAACATACTCACGTGCACCCTGTACACCAGCATGTGCCCACATACTCATGTTGACACATGTGCACACACATGCACACAGGGCACATGCACACACGCCAAAAGCATCTGCAGGCATGTGTGCACACACCCCTTCCACACAGCTGAAATGGACAGGCGAGTGATTGGGGTGGTGCTGCAGGGAACAGGTGCCATAGCCCCTCTGGCTTTCCTAACATGCTACTTCTCCACCGTTTTCTGGGCTCTGTGTTAGGCCACCTCCGATTGTACAAGTAGGAAGAGGTAGGGAAGAGACAGGGTACAGGGCTCTATTCCCCCTACCCTCCGCCCCGCAGGTCCCTCTGGTGGTCCCAGGCCTTCTCACCTCTGAGGGATGTAGAACATGCGCTGGGGCGGGGGCTTGTAGAGCACACCCCCATACGTAGGCCAGAGCCCGCTGAGGATGCGGAACAGAGAGCTCTTGCCGCAGCCGTTGGGGCCTGTGATGAGTAGGTGCATGCCCTCTTCCACCTGTGGGGGTAGCAGCCCATGGCACCTGGACGGTGTGGGCCCCCCTGCACTCTGTGCCCTCCTTCCCAGCCTTGGGAAGCTCCCAACACCTGACCCTGGCAGGTTGGCCCTTCTTGTCCTCTTGGTAAGGGGACTGCAGTGCTTGGGGGATGGGGTCCAGTGTACAGAGCCCTAAGTGAATGGGTGGCTCCAGACACAGGGAAATGGCCAAGACCCAGCCCTGTCCCCAAAGGCCCTAACATGCCCAGAGAACACAGGGCCAGCACAAGAGAAAGGGCCTATTCTGCCATACCTGAATGAATAGGTGTGTTCCAAGACAGTGTCACCTTCCATCCCATTTGCCCCCCCACTTCACTGGGAACCCAAGCTTGAGGTCAAGTCTTGACCCTCTTTAGGGAATGCCCTGAAACACGCTTTCTTTACAGTTCTAGACTTAGAGTACGAGCCCCACTGCCAGTCTCCCTGCCCCCACAACCCCCTCTGCCTCTGTGAGTGCTAGGGTGCCACAGAGATGCCACTGTGGCCCTGAGCCCAGCATCAAGGACGTCATGTCCCCCAATTTGCCAATCATATTATCCCACCAGAGTTAGGGAAATGCCTACTGCAGGAACAATGCCAGCTGGCTGGGGCAGGGGAAAGCACAGGCCACGGAATCAGAGATTTCCCAGGTCACCACCATCACCACCATTAGCCTCTCTTAGTCTCTGTGAGATCTACAGTAACGACGCTATGCACAAGGCTCTTGGGAGGATCCGAGGTCGTGGCCTTTGGCTTACATCAGGCAATGTTACAGGTGGAATTGTGTCCCCCAAAATACATACATTGGAACCCTAATCCCCTGTACCTTAGAGTGTGACCTTATTTGGAAATAGGGTGGTTGCAGATGTAATGAGTTAAATTAACACAAGGTCATGCTGGAGTAGAGTGGGACCCTGATTCAACATGACTAGTGTTCTTATAAAAAGGGCACATTTGGACACAGACACACCCAGAGGGAGAACGCCATGGGAAGACAAAGGCAGAAGTCGGCTGATGCAGCAGAAGCCAAGGGACCCCAAAGGTTGCCAGAAACCCCATGCCCAGGGAAAGAGGCCTGGAATGCACTCTCCTGCACCATTCTCAGGAGGAACCCACCCTGCCAGCACCTCCATCTCAGGCTTCTGGCCTCCCGAACTGGGAGAGTCTGTTTCTGGTGTTAAAGCCACTGGGTGAGGGCAGCCTCCGGGTACTAACACAGCCATACAACGACCACTTCCCAAGGGTGGCACCTGGTGCCCTGCTCATGAGGGCCATGGTGCCTTTGCCTGCTTATGCTTCCCCAGGGCCAGCCTGGGAACCTCCACTTTGCATCTGCCAGCTACGGGCTGCTCCCCGTCACCCCTCGAATGAATAGGGGCAACTGTTAGGGGCAACAAGAACACACCACTGTATTATGCTGCTTGGGGTAAGGACACAGGCCGGGCCTCCAGAGCCCCGCGTACCCCCTCCTCTCACCTCTTCTTTCCTTTCTCCCCTGCTGACCCAGCCCCTTAGCCCCTTGCTCCCCCCACCTGCTGCAAAGGCCCAGGTTGGTAGAGTGGCTAGAGTTGAACCAGAGTCTCTAACTCTTGGCTTTCTCAGGAATGTGGGGAGCTGGCAACAGACGACAGCACCAGGAACACTTGGGTGACCCTTGACCAATCTTGGTAATCCCTAGTCTCCTTTATTAGCCTTAATTCTATTGCCTCAGAACAAATAGAGACACGTTGGTCTCTCATCTTGACCTTAGTCCACCTGCCACATAGATCTAGGGACAATGACCACTGCCAACACAGGTAGGCAAGAAGCCAAGGACTGAGGCTTGTGGCCATGGACCGCCAGGCACCCTAGCCCTGTCTGCTCAGCCCAGCCTGGTCAGCACTTCCGGGTCAGGCACCCCTCCTCCACTAGACCTACCCTGATGTTGAGGCTGGCCACCACCACCTCTCCTGTGGGCGTGATGATGGGGATGTTCTCACAGATGATCCCCTGCTCCACGTCCACCACTTGGCCTGCAGAGAGAATGCGAGGAGGGAGGAGAGGGACCGGCAGCACTCTCTCTGCCTTCTAGCAGGTTCTGCGTGCCCCCAGGTGCAGGCTTACCTGCCCCTGATAATGTGCCAATGGATGTCCAATAGGCATCATGCGGTCTGGGCCCCTTGAGAACACAGCCAGGTCTTCCAACAAGCCGAACTCCTCTCCCCGTGTCTAGTACTGCACCCCCGGCTGCCAACCTCTGGTCCCCCGGAACCCGAGGCATCAAATCTCTACTCCTGCTCTGGAGCTTTCCCCTTCCAGCATACTCCTCTGTGGCAGCCCACATACTGCAAGCAGACTTGATCTTTCTCTGCTACCCTGTGCGGGTGAGTGATCCTTTGCACTCAGGGACCACATCCCACTTTTTCTTAATGAATAATCCTGGCCAGGGCCCTTAGGAGGGCAACTCAGCAGGTTGGCCGGCAGCGCCTTCTCTGGGAAGGAAGGCTGTTGGACCTGCACCTCTCCCCAGAACCCTTCCCCAATGGCCCAGTTCACCCTGGCAGAAGTCCTCAGAGACCCTGCTGGGCAGCCCCCCACTCCTGGTTGGACTGGGACAGGCCAGGGGTACACAGTGGTCCCAGAGCGCCGGGGTGGGAATGAAGGAGAGGGGCTGCGGCAGCGAGTCAGGCATCTGCAGCAGAAAGGCAGGGACAAGAAGAGATGGGATAACCTTACCTAGGATCTTCAGGGCCCCTTCCACGTGGACACCGGACTGTACCATGGCCCCAGACCCTGCCTGAGCATCCTCCAGCTCCCCAGGCCTCTTAAAACGACAGTGCTGGACATCCTCAAATACCTGGAACATCTCGTGAACCCGGGCTGTGTAGCCAGCCAGCTCTGTCACCTGTGGGAAGGGTGACCTGGCTCAGCCCCTGCCAGCCATGAGAAGAGGGGCATGGCAAGAATGGGGCTGGGCCAGGGAGGGTACCTCCTTGTACGATGACATGATGCGCTCAATGGCATCTGCAGCCGCTGTGAGGAGGTTTCGGGCAATGGTGAAGGCTTCCGTGCGCTCACTCACCAGCTCCTCCCCCCTCTTCTCCAAGGCCGCCTTCTTCATGGCCTCTGGGTCTGGGGGGAGGGCAGTGACAGGGAGGGACAGAGAGAGGGAAAAGTCAAAAATGAGCCACTAGAGGGGAAGATAAATCTCTTCAGCAAATGGTACAGGAACAACTAGACACATGTATCTATGTCCATGTGCCCAAGAGCGAGCCCACCTCACAACACACATGAGAACTAACTCGTGGTGGGTCACAGGCTACCATGTAAGAGCTAAACTAGAAAATTCTGAGAAGAAAACAGAAGCTTCATGACCTTGGATATGGCAATTGTTCCTTAACTATCACACCAAAAGCATGAGCAACAAAAGAAAACTAGGTCAATTGAACTTCATCAAAATAAAACACTTTTGTACAACAAAGGGCACCATCAAGAAAGTGAAAAGACAACACACAGAGTGAGAGTGGGAGAAAGTGTTTGTAAACCATGTATCTCATAAGGGTGTGGTATCCAGACTATTATAAAGAACTTTTACAACTTAAAGATAAAAAGATAACCCAATCAAACAATGGGCAAAGGATCTGAATATATACTTCTCCAGCAAAGATAGACAAATGGCCAGTAAGCCCCTGAGAAGATGCTCAACATCATTAGTCATTAGAGAAATACAAATCAAAACCACCAGAAGAGGCCGGGCGTGGTGGCTCACGCCTATAATCCTAGCACTTTGGGAGGCCGAGGCGGGCGGGTTGCTCAAGGTCAGGAGTTCGAAACCAGCCTGAGCGAGACCCCGTCTCTACCAAAAATAGAAATAAATTAATTGACCAACTAAAAATATATATACAAAAAATTAGCCAGGCATGGTGGCGCATGCCTGTAGTCCCAGCTACTCGGGAGGCTGAGGCAGTAGGATCACTGAACCCCGGAGATTGAGGTTGCTGTGAGCCAGGCTGATGCCACGGCAACAAAGTGAGACTCTATCTCAAAAACAAAAACAAACAAAAAAAAACACCAGAAGATCCCACTTCACACCCAGTCGGGTGGCTAGAATTTATTTTTTTAATTTTTAAATTTTTTTTTTTAGTAGAGACGGGGTCTTGCTCTTCCTTAGGCTGGTCTTGAACTCCTGAGCTCAAATGATCCTCTTGCCTCGGCCTCCCAGAGTGCTGGGATTACAGGTGTGAGCCACCATGCCTGGCCAGAATTTAAAGGAGACAATAATGTATCAGGGAGGATGAGAAGCCAGAAGCCACCTATGCTGCCAGCAGGAAGGTACAATGGTGCAGCTGCTGTGGAAGACAGTCTGGTAGGAATCTTTTGAGGAGTCACCATATTTTCAGCAATTCCACTACTAGCTACATACCCAGGAGAAACAAAAATATCTGTCCACATGGAGACTTGTATATGAATGTTCACAGCAGCATTATTCACAATGGCCAAAAGACAGAAACAACTCAAGATGTCCATTGGTAGATGAATGGATAAAGAAATTGTGGTACAGATGTACAATGGAATATTATTCAGCCATAAAAAATGAATAAAGTACCGTTTCATCTTACGACATGCATTAGCCTTGAAACCATTATGCTAAGAGAAAGAAGCCAGTCACAAAGGCCACATATTGTGTGATTCTATTTCTATAAAATGTCCTGAACAGGCAAATCCATAGATACAGCACATTAGTGGTTGCCAGGGACTGAGGGAGGGGGAATGGGGAGTGATTGCTAATGAGTCTGGGGCAAAGGTGGGGAACTTGTGGCCTTTGGACTGAATCCAAATTTTACAGACTCTGCGGTTTCTTTATGGGGTGAAAAAATGTGAATATTTAAAAACCAACATTAGCCGGGCATGGTGGAGCATGCCTGTAGTCCCAGCTACTTGGGAGGCTGAGGCAGAAGGATTGCTTGAGCCAGGAGATTGAGGTTGCTGTGAGCTAGGCTGACGCCATGGCACTCACTCTAGCCTAGGCAACAAAGCGAGACTCTGTCTCAAAAAAAAAAAAAATAAAAAAAAAATAAAAACCAACAAACTATACATTTTAAAAGACTGGATTGGGCTGGGCACAATGACTCACGCCTTTAATCCTAGCACTCTGGGAGGCCAAGGCAGGAGGATCGCTTGAGCTCAGGAGTTTGTGACCAGCCTGAGCAAGACGAGACCCTGTCTCTAATAAAAGCAGAAAAATTAGCTGCGTGCCTATAGTTCCAGCTACTCAGAAGGCTGAGGCAGGAAGATCGCTTGAGGCCAAGAGTTTGAGGTGGCAGTGAGCTATGATGATGCCACTGCACTCTACCTAGGGTGACAGAGTGAGACCCTGTCTAAAAAAAAAAATGCTGAATGGTATGGTATGTTAATTACATCTCAATAACATTGATGTCAAAACTGAGCCAGTAGGCATCTGGCTTTGTTTCTTGGCACAAACATCCCTAGACTGCCCCCTGCCCTCTGTCCTGCACCATTGATGTCAGCCCCTCCTGGGACACACTTGGACTTTGTCACCTATGCCCAGACCTGTCTGCCTTTGAAATGCAAATGTCCCACTTTCTGACTATCCCTGCTATGCCCATTTCTCCCTCATCTCCACACCATGGTCTCTGATCTCCGTGCTCATGGCCAGCTTCTGTTTGGCCTCTGTTTTTCGCCAGGAGCTGCTCCTGTCTTAACTTGCTTCTCTGGACCCCATGGCAGCATCCTCCACCTTCCTTTGTCAATGGCCTTGACTCCTTTGACCCTTGCATCCCCCACAGGAGCAGGGTTTTTACACAAGGGATCTTCTGGAAATGGCGGTGGGGAGCAAGGAGAGGCCAACTCTGAGGGTCCTGGGGTGTAGGCTGAAGTGGCAGGAAGGAAGGTTTTGGGAAGAGCCTGAGGACTCCATCCAGGGGCATCTGTGATGCTGAGGTGGGGCCTTAGAGATCACTGGTGAGGATTGGGCAAAGAGGAAAAGGAACATAGAGTCAGCTCAGAGCAGTATGGGTAGAAAGGGGACAGGATAGATGGCCAGAGCACTTTGCATTGCCTTCTGGGGCCTGGCCGAGGAAACCAGGGAAATGAACTTGGAAGGGGATGGAGGTATTAATCCTGAGTCTAAGGTCCTTGGCCTTTCTTCCCACCATGCCCTCAAGGACACAGCCCTGGCCGGGCACTGTGGCTCACGCCTGTAATCCTAGTACTTTGGGAGGCCGAGGCTGGTGGATCGTTTGAGTTCAGGAGTTCGAGACCAGCCTGAGCAAGAGTGAGACTCCATCTCTACTAAAAATAAAAGAAATCAATTGGCCAACTAAAAATATATAGAAAAAATTAGCCGGGCATGGTGGTGCATGCCTGTAGTCCCAGCTACTCGGGAGGATGAGGCAGAAGGATTGCTTGAGCCCAGGAATTTGAGGTTGCTGTGAGCTATGCTGATGCTACGGCACTCTAGCCTGGACAACAGAGTGAGACTCTGTCTCCCCCACCCCCACCCCCAAAAAAAGGACACAGCCGTAACAGACAGTAGGGACTCAAGCCCTCCTCCTCAGATGTTCTTAAAGGTGGACAGTCACTGTAGACAAGGGGAAGGGGACTGAGGGTCTTTGTGCCCAGGGCTTCCTGGTACAGAGCTTTGGGCAGCTAATACCAGGGCCCAGCAAGGCCTCTGGGATGGAGTGAGCCATAGGTCCTGCTCCTCTTCTGGGCCCTCCTGCCTTACAGTCCAGCAGAGCAAAGCTTATCTAAATCCTCCCCAGTTGGTAAGTGCCTGCCTCTTCCTGCTGGCCCCCAGAGCTCTTGGCCTCACTGAAGCACCTGGAGTCCTCACTAGCCACCAGGTGCTAGGGACACTGAAGGGGCAAAATAGATCAAAATCCCTGCCCTCATCGAGCTTGCAGTCTAAGGTAGGGAGAGGAATGCCATAGATAAGGTATTTAGTTCTTAGAAGAGGATAAGGTGGGAAGGGGATGAGAAAGGTGGGTGGTGGGCAGCCCAGATCTCCCTTACAGGGTACCTGCCAGTAAAGCTCTGACAGAGGGAGGGACCAAGCCAAGGGGCAGCAGAGGAAAGGGAGCTCCCAGCAGAGTGTGCAGCATGTGCAAAGGCCCTGAGGCAGAAGCATGCCTGGTGATTTGAAGGAATAACGAAGAGGCTGGGAAGATGGAAGTGGAGCAGGTAAGGGCCAGGAGAGCACTTCACTCTTTTCAAAGGCCCCCAGGCAGGGTCAGGAGCTCAAGCTTCTTTGAATTTCCCCACGTGGAAACTCAATAGGGAGAGAATCAGAGAGATTTCTGTTTTGGAAACAGTGTATGTGTGTGTGTGTGTGTGTATGTGTGTGTGTATACATATAACTGAAAACCCTCTTGCCAGCAAACTGGATAAACTATAATACTGTTTAAACCAGAGCTGTGATTGAAGGAGAGCAGAGGAAATTCCCAGGAGCAAAAAGAGAAGCAAGCAGCCAGGTGAGCCTCTGAAATCCCCAGAGACAGACAGGCAGAAGGTTAGGAAGCTTTATTTGCTTAGCCTGAGCTCTAGGTGCACTGAACAAAAGGTCTCCTCTAGGAATTTGCAATTATATGTCTACAATTCAAATGAATTCAAATAAATACTACCTCCAAATTCAGAAACCAGCCCCCTTCTGCACAAGTTGAGAAGTTAACATGAAAATAGCCTCCAAGTGGTTAATTACACTGGACTGCTGGTCAAAATAGAAGGAAATATGGAACTACACCCTCCATTGAGGGCACACTGATACCCACAGAAGTCCCATGGCAATACCCACAAGGAAATAAGTGAAGACCTGTAGATGGACAGAAGATAAAGGTAGATTAGACCCCCAAGAACTTAAGATAACCAATCATTGATTTGATAGAGACTATGGATTATATATGATTAATATGATACACAGTATAAAAAGAATAGTTGAAAAGATGAGCAAATAAAAGACAAAAGCAGTTTGAAATTTCTATTTGAAAAATAAATTTTTTTGAGAAATAGAATCAAATAGAACTTACAGAAAGTTACTGAAATGTGAAAAAATTCAAGTTAGACACAGCCAGAGAGAAAACTGGTGAATTGGGGAGCAGGAAAGGGGTCTGAGCACTCTTCCAGGATTCAGCAGACAGTGCTACATGGGAAATAGTACAGAGAGGGGAAGAGATCCAGCGAAGAGAGTGAGAAGTCCAGCATATGGCTAGCAGGAGTTCCAGAGGAAGAGAGTGAAAGAATGAGAGCCATGCAACATTCGAAAAGATCATAGCTGAGAGTCTTCCAGAACGACTGAAAAGCCTGCATATTCAAAGGATATACAAGTCTCAAGGATAAACAGAAACTCACTCCTAAACACATCATAGTAAAACTATAGAATGCCAGAGAAAATTACAAAAGTACTCAGAGGAAAAAATGCAGGTTACTAATGGAGGACAATCAAACTGCTAACAGATTTTTCAACAGTTGCAGGAGAAAGAAGACAATGGAGCATTGCCAAAGGGCTGAGAGAAAATAACTGTCCGCCTAGAGTCCCACACCCAATTAAACTTTAGCTTGGGAATAAGGGTGAAATAAAGACATTTTCAGACAACAAAATAATCAAGAATTTCCTATGACAAAACCCTTGCTGAAAGAACTTTCAAAAGATGTCTATCTGGAGGAAGGTAACTGAACACAGAGAAAGGACTGAGATGTAAGAAGGAAATGGTGAGTGAAGAAACCAGCAAATTCGACAGTGAGCTGCAGCACACGAGGGCTGGATAGAGCAAGAGCAAAGAAGAAAAGGTCAAACCCAGCTCTGTGTCAGGCTACTGCAACAAGGCTGACAGGCGACAGTTCTCACAGCTCAAGTGTCCTAAGGCCCAGGAGGAGGAGGAGCTACTGATTAACCTAATACTGTGTCAAATATGCATGTTCACCTTTTAAAGGTAACCACTGACAGACTGAAAAGAGACTGAATGCTTGCAAAGCAGTAGAGGAACGAAATGAGAATGAAGAAAACCTGATCATCGCTAAAATAACAGACTTCCCACTGCCCCCAAAAGGCCCTAGGGTGAAGGTATCTACCCTTTGCAACCTGCAAAAGCTGTTTTAGGGGTGGGGAAACCAAGGCTGGAGCTAAAGGAGCTCACCCAGGTACGTCCCACAGCCTCCCCCCTCCAAGCAGCAGTTGGACTGACGACAGGAACAGGTGGGTGAGGGTACATGCACCTGGTGAAGTGACATGTAGTGTTTCTGAGTTGTGTGCAGGTGAAAGGCAATAAGGAGCTAAAAGGAGAGCCCAACCTCTGGTGACCTCAAGGCTGCCTGTAGGCCTCAGTGTCCCCAGAGGTACAAGACAGGGCTCTTGCCTCTGGCCCCCCTGGAGCGCTGGCTCTCACCTGACTCTGAGTAGCCGGTGGCAGTGATGATGGGGACAGCCACCATGAGCAGGCCTGAGGCACTCCACACATACTTCATGAGGAATTGCTCCAGCATGACATACCACAGGCGTTCCAGAAGGATGAGGTTGATCTGTGAGGCCAGGTCCTGGTAGGAGTGCTGCAGCAGGGCCAGCTCCACCTGCCGGGGATGACAGAGACAGGGAGGCTCATGACAACTCCCATGAGGGCAATGGTAGGAGTGCTGCTTACACGTTAGGCCATTTAATGGCATGACAAGGTGAAGAGCTGGGGGTTACGACTGGGCAGGGCCAAGTCTGAAACTCAGGGCTGGTGGGGGGTAAGGGACTGCCTACTATCACAGTGCAGCTCTCATCCCCTCTTTCTATTCCCTTCTGTTCCCTGAAAACAGGCCCAGGGCAGTCACTTTTCAGTCCTCTGCTGAACTCATTTCTTTGGGCTCCTCCCAGCACCCTCCTCCTGGCCCTGCTGTCCAGGCACGACCTCCCCTTCCCTGAGAGAAGACCAACAGCTCTAACATCTGACCCTGAACTAAGCAAAGAGCAGTACAGGAGAGCAAAGGGCAGTGCTCTTGGTTCTGAAAAACCTGGTTTAACAGTCTTATACCCCACCTCCCCCTCCTTTCCCACAGTTCCTTGGGGTGAGAAACTTGCACTGCATTTTCCCACCCAAACCAGGAGCCTGGCTCTTGCTCCCTTAGCAGTGGTTAGACTGCCTCTGCTCTCCTATCCCCATTCCCTCACTGGCCACCATCTATCATGTTTGGATGGGGACAGGTGGGAGAAGGAACCTGTGCAGGGAAGAGGGTAGCAGCAGCAGTCAGATGGGCAGAGGAGGGTGGGGGTGTCAGGATGTGCTCAGGTCAAGGCCACCAAGGCTCAGTCCAGGGGCATAGACCACAGCCTTGCCTTCCCACACCCATCTGGTGACAGCTACCCAAACTGGCACCATTTGCTGAGTGTTTTCACATCTCTCTCTATTTGATTCTCACCATGTCCCACTGCATGTGTATCCACATGTGCACTGTACAGCGGAACACTGAAGTCCAGATAGGCAAAATGATCTGACCAAGTCCATCCACACAGCCTAGTGGTGGAATTTGGACCACACTGGCAGAATTGTTAGGAGAACCACATTCTTGTAAATGACGCTTTGACTTACTGAGATTTACTTTGTTCTCAACCACTTAAGAGGTTGTGTGTATGTGTGTGTGCGTGTGCATGTGTGTGTTTAAATAAGCCTCCCTGCTGAAATCCCAGCAAGAACAGAATACTGTCACTTCTGCCCTAACCTGTTGATCTGAGCCTAGGCTGGTGTCCACGGGGACATCAGCCAGTGGGAGGACTGGAATGGGCCACATGCTTGCACAGCAAGGGCAATTGATCCACCCATGGGTCCTGTCACCCCATAGCTTTTCAGCAAAGGTCTATGCAGATAAGCTGTGGATGCACATGGGGCCCTCCAGCCCTGGGAAGCAAACTTTGGCCAATGTGCTACTTCCTGAATCTAGCCTGGGGGAAGTCCTTCAAAGAACCAGTGATCTCTTTTCTGCCCCCCACCACCCAGGTCTGCATGCACAGCTCAGGTTTCCTCAAGCGGAATCTCCCATTCCAGAAGTGAGCACACCTCCTCTGAGTGTCCTGGCAAAGTAGACTGGTGTTGAGAGCTGGCAGCCGTGCCAGCCAAGGCTGACAGTGTAGCTGCCAGTGATGTGCCAAGCACCTTACCCAAGGCCATGGCTGCCTGCCAAGGCCTTACAGTGGGAGAAGAGGAGAGCAGGAGAGGGGTTTCAACTGAAGGCCAGTGCCTTTTCTCCTAATCTGTAGTCTGGCCCACACCTGGGATGACCCTCTCTTCAGAGTTCAGGGACAAGCCTTTTTTAAAAATTAGGGACAAGCCTGCTTCTCTGCCTAGGGCACAGCAAATGAGATTTGGTCCTGGGGCAAGAGGCCACCTGACCCAGGGAGCACACAAGGTGGGCAGATTGCTCGAGGTCAGGAGTTCGAAACCAGCCTGAGCAAGAGCCAGACCCTGTCTCTACTATAAATAGAAAGAAATTAATTGGCCAACTAATATATATAGAAAAAGTTAGCTGGGCATGGTGGCGCATGCCTGTAGTCCCAGCTACTCGGGAGGCTGAGGCAGTAGGATCACTGAACCCCGGAGATTGAGGTTGCTGTGAGCCAGGCTGATGCCACGGCAACAAAGTGAGACTCTATCTCAAAAACAAAAACAAACAAAAAAAAACACCAGAAGATCCCACTTCACACCCAGTCGGGTGGCTAGAATTTATTTTTTTAATTTTTAAATTTTTTTTTTTAGTAGAGACGGGGTCTTGCTCTTCCTTAGGCTGGTCTTGAACTCCTGAGCTCAAATGATCCTCTTGCCTCGGCCTCCCAGAGTGCTGGGATTACAGGTGTGAGCCACCATGCCTGGCCAGAATTTAAAGGAGACAATAATGTATCAGGGAGGATGAGAAGCCAGAAGCCACCTATGCTGCCAGCAGGAAGGTACAATGGTGCAGCTGCTGTGGAAGACAGTCTGGTAGGAATCTTTTGAGGAGTCACCATATTTTCAGCAATTCCACTACTAGCTACATACCCAGGAGAAACAAAAATATCTGTCCACATGGAGACTTGTATATGAATGTTCACAGCAGCATTATTCACAATGGCCAAAAGACAGAAACAACTCAAGATGTCCATTGGTAGATGAATGGATAAAGAAATTGTGGTACAGATGTACAATGGAATATTATTCAGCCATAAAAAATGAATAAAGTACCGTTTCATCTTACGACATGCATTAGCCTTGAAACCATTATGCTAAGAGAAAGAAGCCAGTCACAAAGGCCACATATTGTGTGATTCTATTTCTATAAAATGTCCTGAACAGGCAAATCCATAGATACAGCACATTAGTGGTTGCCAGGGACTGAGGGAGGGGGAATGGGGAGTGATTGCTAATGAGTCTGGGGCAAAGGTGGGGAACTTGTGGCCTTTGGACTGAATCCAAATTTTACAGACTCTGCGGTTTCTTTATGGGGTGAAAAAATGTGAATATTTAAAAACCAACATTAGCTGGGCATGGTGGCGCATGCCTGTAGTCCCAGCTACTCGGGAGGCTGAGGCAGGAGGATTGCTTGAGCCCAGGGGTTTGAGGTTGCTGTGAGCTAGGCTAACGCCACGGCACTCACTCTAGCCTAAGCAACAAAGTGAGACTCTGTCTCAAAAGAAAAAAAAAAGAGCCTTCAGGAGGTGGATGCCATTGTGCCCCCCACCCCCACCCCCAAGCACTCAGGGAAGTGAAACCAAGTCGCTGAGAGCTGGGCTAGAGGCAGCTGCAACCTCAGGCACCAGGAAGGGGAGGGGCCGAGGAGAGATAAAGGGAGCACTGGCCTGGAGTAACCTTTCCCAGCGGCTGCCTGGCCCGCCCCAGCATGGGCAGCTGCCCACCAGGGAGCTAAGCGCCTTGGGCGGAAGGGCGGCCACACAAGGGGCAGGAAGTGTGTCCTGCCTGTGGCAGCCTGGGCCCAGCATCCCTAGCCTGAGGGTGTGGGGAGGCAGCTGAGCCAGTTGGTAGGTGGGCAGGCCTGTGGGCTCCGGAGGTCTTGACCCCCAAGTATGGCCACTGCCACCACGGCCAGGCCAGCTTGTTAACCTCCGCTTGGGCTGAGTCATGTCCATAATGCCTGCCAGCTTGGCCGGCTAGCTCTGCTGGACGCTGGCCTTCAAAGGGCCCAGGGGCCCGGGAGGGACCACACAGCAGGTCAAGTCCCATGGTCCCTGCTCCCAAAAGGCATAGTCTCCTCCCAGCTGGCTGCAGGAATGGGGCAAGCCAGAGCTCTAGCATCTCAAACCGCTAGGATCCACAGCTCTAAGTCCAGGACAACCTCCTTGAGGAAGAGAGGAAGAAGTGGCCTGGAGTGAGCAGGCTGCCAGCACAGGACAGTCCCCACCCAGCCTTCCTACTTCTCCATTTCTGTGCCTAAGTCCACAACTACCCAATGCCCTGCCCTCCCCAGCCCCCCCACCCCCCGCCGACTCCAGATGCTCGGCATCAGCCCTGGCCAACCTGGGCTTTCCCCACCAGTCATGGCTGCCTGCCCCTGGGCCTCCCAGCCACACACTTTGCTCCATGCCCAGTGCCCCAACCTGCCCCACCTCGTGGCCCCCATAGAAAGCGATCTCCTCCGAGTTGGCCACTACACGAGAGTGCATGTAGCGCAGCTCCCCCTTCCGCCGTGCCTCCTCTGCCACCAGCTCCCCAAACTTGGGTGAGAAGGCCCGTAGCACATTGGCTGTGAGGAATACCACGAGGCCAGCAATAGCCGAGGGCCAAGCTGTGCCGGCACCGCGTGATCGGGCCGCTCGAAGCAGGGTGTAGGAGGTCACAGCCACATCTAGGAGTGGCTTGGTCAGGTTGGAGTACAGGTGAGCCACAGAGGCAGCAAAAGCCACCACATCCTCTGTCAGAGACTGGTCAGGGTTTCGAAGCCGGCCATCCATGTTGCTGACTCGGTAGTAGGTCTGCTGGGAGAAGTAGAGGCTATAGGCATGGGCCACCAAACGGCTCCGGAAAGACAGGGCCAGCTGGCCCTCCAGGTATCGGATGGCACTGTTGATGAAGGTGGCAGGGAGGGCGATGAGGAGCCACTGCAGTAGTTGCCAGCCGAAGGCCCGTGGGTCCTTGCGCACGATGCAGCGGGCCAGCCTTCCATCCAGGCGGGCCACATATACTGACAGGAAAGTCCTGCTCACCAGGGCAGACGAGTGCAGTGCTAGCAGTCCAGTCTCCCTGCACAGCACCCGGGGGAACAGCAGCCGCAGGAGCCACAGGAGTCGCTGCAGGAATATCCGGTTCATGCCGGCCTTAGCCACTGTGGCCCCGGAGACCTCTTGCATGGACTCCCTGGTTGGCACCTGAAGGCCCCTGGCCGGAGCCAGGCACTGCCGCACCAGGGGGTAGATTTTGTGGACCCCATAGGCTGTGAGAGCCAGGACCACCGCTGTGCGCTTCAGCGTGGTTACCCGTGAGGTCCGGGGGGTGGAAAGCACCGGCATGTCACCTGGCCTGGCAAGCAGGGAGCTGGGACTGGTGCCTGAGGCAGCAGTTGAGGCAGGTGGCTGAAAGGGTTGTTGCTCTGACCCGGGGCTCGTCGTCTAGGCAACTGGAAACCTTGCCGTGGTCCCTGAGACTGTCGCTTTAGGCCCCCGAAGTGGTGCTGGGGTCCCTGGTGCGGTGGGGTCAGGGCCTTCCAGGGTCGCGGCTTCTTCAAGCAGTCCAAGTGGAGGAACTTGGCTGTCCTTTCGTGTCAGTCCCCTAGTCCCCGAGGTCAGAGTCTCAAGAGGTCTCGGCAGAGAGGGCGTCTCTTCCTCTCCTCTTCCTCCTCCCCTGGTGGCGCCCCTCCCCGGGGCACTAGGCACGTCGGTCCGCTCCACAGCCTGGCTGAAGCGACAGTGATTCCGCCACCGGCCCAGAATCCCCACCTTCCCACTACTCCCCAGGGGCGAGTCCGGGGAACTGTAGGAGGCGGAGGAGGGGCGAGAGGCGGAGTCCGGGCGCGGAGCACCCCACCCAGTTCTCGCCCCCCGGCGGAGCTCCGCCCCCTCGCCGGACCACAGAGACGAGGGACGACCGCGCGGGCTAGAGAAGCGGCCCTCGCCTTCCCTCCAAGGCCCCGCCCCGCCCCGCCCCCTTCCAACTTCGCGCGCTCAGAGCGCTGGAGGCGCCGTAGCCGACCGCCAGGCGCTGCTTGTTTTTAAGCTCTCGGCGCCTAGTCCTCGGCTGAGGGGCGGGAGAAGTGGCTGTAGGCGAGCTACTGCGGCTTCGCCGGGCTGGGGCGGGGCCCGGCGGGCGCTTCCGGTTTCCGGTTGCGGGGCAAGGGGCTGGGCGGGGCCGGGGCGGTGGTGGTAGAGTTTGCCTGCTGCCGCGGGGCGTTTGTGGTGACTGTGGGAAACTCGGTGAGCCGTTCCGCTCGCCAGGCTGGGCTCCAGGGCCGCCGTGTGTCCCTCGGCCGCTTGACGAGGGAGAGAGGCGAGCAGCTCGGAGAGACCGGGGGTCCCGGGGTGTCTTGGGGCCCATGGCCGACCCGGGAGTGCGGGGAGGGCCGAGCTAAGGAAAATCGGGGCGGCGCCTTCAGGAGCCAGGCTCCGGGGGCGCAAGGGTGGGGTGTGAGGGTTGGCGGTGAAGCCCCACCAGGAGGTGCCACCGGGGTGAGCCTCAGGGATCGTGTGCCAGGCCAGGGCTACGTCGGGGGCACCCTGGTGCTGCGCGGTCGGCTCTCGAGCTGGGTGGACGCTATGGCCCACTGGGTTTACTTGAGACGGCTCTTCTGGCGTCTGAGGAGACTGCTTCTTCTAGAACTTTTTGTAGCTGGGGCCTTGAGGTGTTCAGCCGAGACCTGCATTTGCTCTTGGCCCCGACTCCTGCCCTCTAGGAGTCGCTCTTGCGGACCTTTTCGGGGCGCCCTGAGGCCTCGCGCCCCATCGGAGACAGAAGCAGCCGTCAGTTGGAAGGCTTTTTTAGCCCCTGATGCAGCCCAAGAGGGAGGCTGCTGGTTTTCTCTCGGCGTCTTTGGAAGGGATTGGGAGGAAAGGACCTCCTGGTTTCCCCGGGGTTGGGAGGAGACGGGGGCGTCCGTAGCTTTTGGAGAAGGTGTGGTTACTGAAACACTGCAGTCCTGGGGCTGGCTGGTAGCAGGAATTTGAAAAACGCCCAACCTCTGCGGCAGTTCCATTTGGCTTGGAGGGGAGTGGGGCTGATGGGTGTTGAGGATTTCCTCCTGTTTGTCGTGTACTATTCTTTATGAAAAACTCTTTCCCAGTTAAACAGGCTTAAGGAGTCTCTTGGACTCCCTGGGGAAAGGAATCTTCAGGAAAGGTGGCTCTGGACACGTTAACACACATGCTGGGGGGCAGCAAGTAACTCAATCCCAAGAAGTGGAAGTTTGTGGGGCCTTTGAACACTATGGGCAAGGAGCCCTACTTACTCCAGTCCAGCACTTAAAAGACTCTGCTGTAGAGTTCTGGGTTCAGGGTGAGGTGTGGCAGTCCCAGCTTCTCAGAGTACCTGAACTGCATGTCATTGGCTGCTCAGCTTTTACTCCTGTTCCTTCTGTTTTGCCCTGCCAGGAAACAAGCTCACATCTCTGTGGGAAACCTTTTAGCAACAGGATGAGTCTGCAGTGGACTGCAGTTGCCACCTTCCTCTACGCAGAGGTCTTTGCTGTGCTGCTTCTCTGCATTCCCTTCATTTCTCCCAAAAGGTATGGTCTGTAGAGCAGGCAGGCAAGTAAGCAGAGGGTGCCTGTTGCCAAGCCCTGTGGCTCTTGTGTGCAGAGTTGGTGGGCCCTGGAATTGGGGCCAAATGGAACAGGTAGAACCTGTCTGGGATGAGGGTGGCAGGGGTTGTGTTTACTGTTGCCAGTGCTCCACATGGTTTTACTTTGTCACGGCTTGCTGAGTTCCTTTCCTGTGTACCCTGCCTTCTGGTCTTCAGAATGCCCCAAAGGGAAGATCTATCTCTAGTTATGGTGCTGGAAATGATGCCCTCCCACCTACTCTTGGGTCCTTAAGTGTGGAGGATGGCAATGTAGGATCTGGAAGACTTGCAACACTGGGTCACATTATTGCAGATTTGGTGACTCCTGTCCTCCTAACTAGTCTCACTGGCATTTGCACAGTAGTAGCCTCGTGAGCATTAGTCAGCCTATGAAGGATGAAGCCATATTGTCTTCTAATGAACAGAGGACCTGTAAATAGTTAATTGGAAATTAATTTTTAATTATATATATATAAACACATTGCCCCTATTTAAATTAGAATATTACAAATAAGGCTAAGTCTCCACGGGTATTTTTAAGAACTCTTTTTTAATGAAAAATATACTCCTGATGTGATACCATAGGGAGTATGAAATACCATTGAAGAAATGTTCTTGCCAAAAACCAAACTTGCATAAGTTCAGAGGAAACGCAGAAACAGAGGGCCTCTTGGAACTGCAATCTGGGAAGCTCTGTAGGGCAGACAACCTGGTCTCTGCACAAAATAAATTAGAAAAGAAGACAAAAGAGGGAGAAAGAAGGGGGAACTTATAGAATAAGAGAGACTTATGACATTTACCCTACTAAATGCCAAATCAGTACCTTGTTGGGTCCTGATTCAAACAAACTGTTAAAAATGCAATGATTGGACTTTTGAACTCTGGCACTGCTAATGAGGGTCTCTTTTGATTTGTTACAATACGTAAACACTTCTGAAGGCTCTTTTAGAGCTACATCCTGAAGTATTTGTGGATGGAAATGATAGGAGGTCTGGGGTCTGTTTTATAATAATCCAGAGTGGTGGGGGTGTAGATGAGTCAAGATTTGTTGTGTGGAAAGATAAATGATGCGTGTGTGTGGCAAACATTTTGAATACTACAAAGGGGAGTAAATTGAAAAGTAAGTTTCCCTCCCCAGAGACTACAAGTGTTTAAGACTGGTTTTGTAGACATTTTTATATACATGGACAGGTATCCTTTTTTTTTTTTTTAAACACTCTTGAGAGGATGTCATAAATTGGAGAATTGCAAGCAACTGAACCCGACTGCAAATTGGCATTCAACCATTGGAGAAGAATACAAAGCTGGATTTCTGTTCTGCTCCAGACCCTGGATCCCAAGTGTATGTGCTTTTGCTTCAGCCCCATCCTCGTATCTTCTCCTTTACAGATGGCAGAAGGTTTTCAAGTCCCGCCTGGTGGAGTTGGTAGTGACCTATGGCAATACCTTCTTCGTGGTTCTCATTGTCATCCTCGTGCTGTTGGTCATTGGTAAGTGAGCTGTGGCTGAGGGCAGCCACCTGATCTAGACCCTGGCCTCTGTTACAAATCTTTGTGCTATTTTTCGTGTATAGTGTTAAGTTTTGGCTTCTCAGAGACAGACCGTTTAAATGCCTCTTGTCTTTCTCTTAGGGAGATGTTCTTCATCCATACTGCTGACTGCTAGCAGGGCCTTTACTTTGAGAGGTTCTTTTAGTAGTGGGTGGGGGCTTATAGTAAGCAGCCTTTATGCACCCTTATGATGACCACCTTGCATTTCTGAGGTGCTCCTTGGATCTTTCTAGAACTCAAAGCTGAGAGAAGCTAACTGGTCCATTACCTTACTCTAAGTAGAACTGCTCACCTAAGTAGTGCTGCTCTAAGTAGTGCTGCTCACCCCAGTCACTTAAACAACAGTGTTAATCTTCTTCCTCGATGCTTAAAACAGGGCCTCTAATAGGGGACTGAGCAGTCAGGTAGACAGTGAGCCTAGCTGGGAAGGGAAGTCCTGTCCTGTAGTATGAGGGGTGGGGGGAGACCTAGATATCTGGCAACATAACTTGGAGACAAATCCCAGACTTCTCTGGATCTAAGCTAGACTTTAGGTTTTTCTGGGTCTTTCCAGCTCTGTAGTTCTATAAGCCTGAACATTGAGGTGCATACCAACAGGGTCTTGAAAGATAAACTGGTCCAGGGGCCAGGTGGTGTTAAGATGGAAGGTGAACATTTTGTGATGATGTGGTGGTGTGACCATTTAGAGACAGGAAGAAGGAATAAAGCTCTTATCTGGTTAGATGTTTGTTATTTTGTTATGGTAAGTGGTCAATATGTTCCTCTGCTTGGACTCCAAAGTGTTGGCTTTGCTTTGCTATGGACAGCAGTCTTGTCTTAGAACTGTGATGCCCACTTAGGCTTGGAACACTCCTCTCCCCCTGAGTCCTCAGCAGAAATGCAGGGGGAGTGGGGTGGAGGGGCACTTTGGTTCAGGGGAATGTGCAAAGCCCCACCCACTAGCTGCAGCATTAGACATTTTTCCTTCGTGATGTCTCCAGGCCTGATAGGATGTGTTTAGGCAGGACTGCCTCTGAACAGGTCAGGTGTGGCCTACCAGTTCCCAGCCACATAGGGTAGCTGCAGGCTGCCTGAATACCTCACTGTTCTTGAAATACGTGGTAAGAGGCAGCTCTTTCCAATTAGGGTTCTCTTCCTGAGCAGCTTCTGAGCCAGGAGTTGGGTAGGCGATATGTGTGTTGTCCCTGGGGCTGAGCTCCATGAAAAGTCATGCTACCTAGTATTTGAACTGAGCATGTGTGTTTTTGCTTTTGGATTTGGGGTGGGGACAAGAATTGGGTAAAGGAAGGACTTTGCTAAGAGGATTATTCCCTCAGGGCCTCGCCTCTTCCCCATATTAGAACCACAGATGTGTCTCTTTCTGGGTGCAGCTTAGTGGGCCAGAGAGATCCTTTGTGGAATAGTAGTTGGCAAAACAGGCCTTCATTATTTTTTGGATTAGGGAACTGCTTGGAAGTTCTAGAGAGACATGGCTAGATGTCTGGCTGCTTCCTACCCTCATGTTAGGAAGCATAATCTAGAAAGATCTGCAGAATCTTCTACGAATATAAGTGTTAGTTACTAGCAGATACTAAGGAAAGGTGCTGGCATAACCAGCTTAAGCTACACCCCTGGACAGCCCCTGTCCTTCCCTCAGAGGGGCCTCAATCAGATCTGACTGGAGGATGCAGGGTCCACTTACCTGAGCCGAGGCCAGGGATAGGGAGGGCCATGTTCTGCTGTGGCACTTAGGCTAGTATTGCTGAGTGTC